ACTTACGTTATTCTTTATGTCTATGCGTTATGCTTATGGCTGCGTTTGCATTGTGAATGGATATTTAGGGACATTTCTAGTACATTATTGTTTTCAGTACATTATTGTTTTTATGAACTGAAGGTCTGCAAACGACTTCTGATGAAGTTTCTCGAAAATTGACTTTTTTTCGTGAAAACTAGCTCAAATTTTTTAGAAACGCTCAAACAATATTTTCTCAAGAACGGCTCAAAATTAGTCAATAAACTAGTGGTGCTACAGAATAGCGCAGACTTAGTTTTCTATTTCCTCTGGTCTCGGCTAGCGATTCGAACATGTCAAATACTCGTGCCTGCTGCTATCTATCGCCGCCCAAAGTACATTTTTTTAAAATGTTCTTAATTTTTCGGTTTTCTAATAGGGGAACGGAAATATTATTTTAAGGATATTAAAGTACAGTAAAATCTCGTCCTAAATAGCAATTTTCTTTGAAAAATTTGGAGCCGTTTTTAAGAAAATAGCGCTTATGCACTACAGTAAATTCGAAACTTGAAGCACTTTTTCACAGAAATATTTTGAATTTTCGTAAAACTTCATTTGAAGTCATTTTAATTACTTGAACTCAAAAAAAATAATGTTTACAAATTACTGGAAATGTCCATATTACCGCAGCTATCTTACAAAAAAAATTACATTTGTTTAATTTTTTTAAAATACCGAGACACCGAAATGACCATTACGTCATATTAAAGAATGCAACTTGCACTCTCCTTTTGCAAAGTTTGAAGAAAATTAGGACCTATTTTGAGAAAATGGCGTTTTTGAGCGTTTTTGATAATGCGAAAGTTTGAGCTAGTTTTGACAAAACGGTTCAGTTTTCGAGAAGCTTTATGTGACATTATTTAAAACACATTTACTCATAAACATAATAATGTGAACAAGTTGTCGCTAATGTAAATATAACTACGTGAGAAACAAGTAAAAAATACGTTTTTGTAATTTTTGAAAAAACAAAATATTAGAGCAATATGGCGTTTATGGCATCTTGTAGAGTGCCTTTAGCACAATATTTACCAAACGTTTACAGAAAACATTTAGAGCAGTTTTTGAGAAAATCTTTTTTTTTCGTAATTTTTTAAAATTGTTTAAACTGCACCCAATATTGTGCCAATACAACTACATGTTTCAAAAAAGATGTACATGACTTTAATGAAAGAACAAATTATTGACAACAAATTTCAATCAAAGGAAACATCTATATCTTTAATTTTGTAGTTGTAGGAAGAACTCGAAAAACATTTTCAAAAATTTAAAGTTAGCTGTGAAAATCGGACCTTGCCACCTTTATAAGTATATTTTACTACATTCTTAGAAGATATTTAAAGAGAAAAATTGGATCAATGTTTGAAAAAGTTTTGAAAATGTCGTGGGGTTTTCATGTAAAGTACCCCCGAAAACTAATTAATGATATTCAAAATCTCAGATCTACTCAGGCCAAATGGACAGGGACTTGATGAATTTGGAAAAAATCCTACGCAAGGTTTAGGCGCTAGTGCTGTTCACGTACACCAGACGGACGGACGGACAGATAGACGGTAGGACGGTTGTTTTGAAAATAAGCCCTTATTCGGTATCATCGACCCCAAAAAGTGCATTTACGTTGAAATCTCGAAATCGATTTTCCGGAGCTTTACATAACTTTCCCCATACTAGTAGCATCATTAATTTCTTTCTCATAAAGAGAATGTAGCGGAAGAATTCGGCGTTTTTTCGAAAGAAAATTTCTTATTTTTAAGCCTTGATAATAAGAAATTGGATAAATCTTGTTCTTGTATGTACTAAATTATTCCCTCTAAAACGTCACATGAAAAAAGATTGAAGGCGACACGTCTATCTCTCCATATGTCCGACTTTAGTCAATGCTAGCGTCTAAATCAGTGGTATTCAATCATTCTTCCGTGACTCCCATCAGGTAACACAATCTGCATACGCCTCCCCTCATTAAAATTTAATTGTTAATAACAACTAAATAATGTTCCCTAAGTAAAGGCCATTGTGAATACTTCTTTATGACACACCCACCGTGTTCAATATAATTATTTCAAGTGATTTGCACTATTCACTGCTATAATTATTGCATTTAATTAATATTTGGTAAAGAGAAGAGAACTGCAAGGGAAACTATAAAAAACTTACATATTGGCAGTTCAAAAAATTCAGTAAGATGTGCTTATTTGGTGCCATAGAGTTCATCGAATCTCTGCACCAATTTAGAAATGGCAATACGTATCTCATTCTGGAGATTAATTCTTCATCTATATTTAGTCTGGATCACCTCTACGGCTGAAAGTTTTGTTTCACGTAGGCAAAAAGTGGCAAAAGGAAATGGAACTCGCAAGGCTTTCTTACTTCACTCTGGATACTCATTCCTTACGGAGCATCAAAATGCGGTCGATATTGCAGTTTGATCACTACCTTTAGTGTGTTGTCTGCCGAAAAATCAATAATATGTTGTTCTTTCCTGTTATGAAATTTCTAACTAATTAAAGCATTAATAAGCGTTAGAGCAATATTTTATTCAAATATAACGACGTTATCGCGCCTCCCTTCTGAAACTTTCGCGCCGCCCTGGGGAGGCAAAATTTTCGAAAACTGTAAAAGTTTAGATTAGATTAGATTAGATTTATTAATAATTCTGCAATTAAGTGTGAGAACTTGGTGGCAG